ATTTGCAGATACCAGGAGACACAAAGTATTCTACTGGCGCACCATATTAGGTTGGTTTTGGAGTCGGTGGAGCCTGATTATAGGAGCTCCTCTGTTTACTTTTCAGTTTGTCTATCAGTCTATCTATGGCCTAGATTCTTAAAGAGACATTTTAGTAAAGAGTGAAATAAAAATTGTTAACATTTCATTGCATGAAGCAGTTTTTTCTACTCCTTTATTATAGTATTGTTATAGTTCACTGTGTGTTGCTTTAAAATATGCAGATGTTGAGTTAGACAGAAAGGGAAAATATTTAATACCTCAGTCTGAAAATCACCATGGGAGGAAAACATCCCTACAATTTGGAAATAAGTATATATTAAGGAGGAACAGTAAATCAATAGTGAAATACATGCCAAGGAAGACACTTTGGAAATAGTCTTGTTGCAGGGAAGATCATGATACTGAGTTGATATTTGAGTTAAGGGGCATTAAGTTTCATCTTAGACTGTTTTGACAAATGAAAGCAGTGATCAATGATTACTAATAGAGGATGGCACTTTCCTTTACTACCACTGACCTAGAGAATTCTCTGGAGTGAATTCATGTTTGATTTGTATGGATGCTCATGCCTCTTGGTGTTGATTCTGTTCTGTGCTGGCTGTGGTACTGCCAGCCTAACTCAGTGAGTAGTCAGTATTGATTTTGGACCCCAGCTGCCAATGTTGAATAAATCATACTTCTCAAATGGCACATTATTGTCACTGGCCCAAATAAGACCTCTTTTATTATGTTTCTTACATCTCTTCTCTAACCCTACCTTCCATTCCTTCAGGAAATCATTCTAGTGCATTTTCTGTGTCTTCCATAATTTTTGATAAAACTCGTGCTATTTTGTGTATGTATATTTTAAAAATTACACAAAAATGCATAAAAGAAAATTATAGTCAATTTTCTCATACTCATTATTGACATCAATTATAATCAACTGATAGATTCATTTTATCTATAACTTCTGAATCTCCAGTCACTACCTCCCTACCTGAATTATTTTGAAGCAAATTCCAGATATCACTTCTTATCTTATGTTTGCAATAAATGATTACAGCATCTTACTTCATGCCTGAACACATAAACAAATGGTGACTTCTCCTTGTGCTTGTGGGTGCATCTAGCCCATTACTTCTCTTTAACTACTGCGTGATGCTGGTGGCATATCTATCACATGTGAATCTACTTCCCTGGGGTGGGAACAATACTTGGATTGCCTTCCTCCCTCTTACCACAAACAGAACTGCAGTGAACACCTTTATACACATAAATAAGTTTAAACCTAATCCAAACTCCAACTGGATCTAGAAAATTCATATTTATTCTAAAATGTATATGAAAGTAAACACATATGAAAAGCAAACCCAACCTTGAAAATAAGAAAATTCATGTATTATAGTGGCCTTTTCTTTCTGTGTAACTCATGTTGTGCATATTTTAAAGCAATACGCGTAGCCAACGAGAACAATGCTAGAATAAAGGAGTAGAAAACTGCTTAAAACGATGAAATGCTGACGATTTTTATTTTACTGTTTTTGAAAATGTCTCTTTAAGAGTCTAGGCCAAAGATAGACAGACTGAAAAGTAAACAGAGGAGCACTTACAATCAGGCTTCACCAAATCCAAAACCAACCTAATATGCTCCATGATGAATCTGTGAGAATGTCTTTGCAATATATATTGAGGTACGGAATTTTGAGGTCAGAGTATACAGTTACTTTAAGTGTTGTCAGATTGCACCAGACATTCTAGAGAGGAATCTACACACTTACCGGGAACACTTGGCATTATCAGGCAATTTTTTTTCTCATTTTGTAGGCCTGAAACAATATTATATTGCTTTCACTGGCATTTTTCTGATTTCTAATAGCATGACCATCTTTTTACATGCGTATTAGCTTTCTGGGTTTCCTCTTCTGTAGATTGTGGATATCCTTTGCTGCTTTTCCCATTGGCATTTTATCTGAGTGATTTACAGGGCTTCCTTCATGATGTGATATGTTATATCTTTGTTAATTTTGCATGTGGCTAGTGTCTTCAAAATCCAGGAAGGGAGGGAATGAATGGTGATAAAACTAAACATCCTAAAAAAATTATAATGATTCTTCTCAGGTGAGATTATAGAAATCTCCATTTATTTATAATAGCCAAATGTTTATTAGGTTTAAAAAGTGTTCTCCACGAAGGATTTCATTTCATTAAGCTAAAACCTGGGTAGTATGTTTTCATTGCTATTGAAAACAGTAACTTATTTTCTATTAAGTTTTCTAGATTGTCATTGGAATTCAGAGAAATGCTACTGTTTTTTTGTAGGCTGACCTTTATATCCAACAAACTTACTGAGTATTCTCATTTAAATAGTTTTAAAAAGTTAAAAAATTTTTTTTGACAAATGACATTTATGGTGTACAACATAATTTTTTAATATGTATATATTGTGGAATTGCTAAATCAAGCTAATTACCATATGCATTACATCATCTACTTTTTTGTGGTGAGAGGACATAAAAAGTACTCTCTCCAATTTGTTATTAACTAGAGTCAGCATGTTGTACAATAGATCTCCTGAACTCACTCTTGCTTGACTGAAATTTTGTATCTTTTACTGCTTTTTCTCTAATCTGTATACCTATACCCTGATAATGATTCTATTTTCTCTGCTTCTGAGTTCAACTTAAGATTCCATCTGTAAGTGAGATCATATGATATTTGTCTTTCTGGGCCTACCTTATTTCTCTTAAGATAATGTCCTCCAGGATCACCCCTGTTGTCGTAAATGACAGAATTCCTTTTTAAAGGCTGAATACACGTTTTATCTGTGTTCATCCATTGATGGATAACCGAGGTTGATTTTTTTTTTGTCTTGGCTTTGTTCTTTTTGTTTGAGATTGCCTTGGCTTTTAATAGTTTGTTCTGATTATTTCTCATCCTCTTCCTAAATGTTTTCTTTAGGGTTTTTGTAGATACTTTCAATCAGATTTGAGAAATTTTTCTGTATTCCTTGTTTGCCAGTGTTCTTTTACATTTATGAATGGTTATAGAATCTTAGCAAAAGTTGTTTGGAATCTACTGAAATGGCTATGAGTTTTCCACTATACATTTGTTGGCATTTCTGTCTTCCATAAATTTCCCCTTTTGAAAGTACACTGTCATCTTTTCCTATTTTCTGAACTTCTAACTACCTATTTTTTAGTTTTTGTTATAATACTATTAATTCCAAATACTTTTATTGTCAAAATTTCATCTGTTATTTGTATCTTTAAAGCCTTAACAAAAACTGTAGTAAGACTGCTTAACGTAAGATCTAGCATTTTAATAAAATGTTAAGTGGATGATCCACTATTGTTAACTACAGGCATAATGTTATACAGCAGATCTCTAGAATTAATTCAACTTGTATTTATACCCTTTGAACAGTAACTACCCATTTCCTTTTTCTCCCAGCCTCTTGCAACCACCCACCTACTTTGTTTCTGTGAGTTTGACTCTTTTAGATACCTCGAAAGTGGAATCATAAACTATTTGTCCTTGTGTGTCTGGCTTATTTCATTTAGCATAATGCCCTCCAGGCTCATCCATGTTGTCACATATGGCAAGATTTTCCTCCCTTTTTTAAGGCTGAATAATATTCCATTGTATGTGTGATGGTTAACTTGTGTCAATTTGACTGGACTAGAGGGTACCCAGAAAGCTGGTAAAACATTATTTTTGGATGTGTCTGTGAGGATATTTCCAGACAGGATTAGCATTTGAATCAGTAGACTGAGTAAAGAAGGTACACACTTACCTGTATGCACAGGAATCCTCCAGTCCTTTGAAGGCCTAGAACCAAAAGGAAGAGGAAGGGTGAATTCTTTCTTGAGTAGAAATATCCAACTTCTCTTGCTCTCAGACATTGGAACTCCTGGTTCTTGGGCCTTTGGACTTAAATAATTAAACTAGGTTTGAACCCTCTCCTCCACTCTAATTCTTAGGCATTTGGGCTAGCTGTCAGTTAGACTACTGAATCACCTAATTCTCAGGCCTTAGGACTCAGCCTGAATTACACTACTAGCTTTCCTGGTTTTCTAGCTTGCAGATAACCTTGAACAGGACTTCTTGGCTTCCATAATTGACTGAAACAATTTCCCTAATAAATTACCTCTTCTTTTTATGTGTATCCCATTGATTCTGTTTCTCTGGAGAACACTAACACAATATGTATATACAACATTTTCTTTATCCATTCACTTGCTGATGAACATTTTAGATTTTTTCATATCTTGGCTATCATAAATAATGCTGCAGTGAGCATGAGACTGCTCATATCTCTTCAAGATTCTGATTTCATTTCTTTAGAATATATACTGAGAAGTGTGATTGCTGGAGCATATGGTAGTTCGCTTTTTAACTTACTTATTTCATAACTTAAACACATCTATTTCATTTTTGTTTTTATTATACTTTAAGTTCTGAGATACATGTATAAAATGTGCAGGTTTGTTACACAGATATACATGTGTATGTGGTTTGCTGTACCCATCAATCCATCATCTACATTAAATATTTCTTCTAATGCTATCCCTCCCCTTGACCCCCACACCCTGACAGGCCCTGGTGTGTGATGTTCCCCTCTCTGTGCCCTTATGTTCTCATTGTTCAACTCCTACTAATGAGTGAGAACATGCGGTGTTTTGTTTTCTGTTCCTGTGTTAGTTTGCTGGGAGTGATGGTTTACAGCATCGTCTATGTCTCTATGGCCCTGCAGAGGACATGAACTCATGTTTTATGACTGCATAGTATTCTATGAAACATATGTACCACATTTTCTTTATCCAGTCTAATATTGATGAGCATTTGGATTGGTTCAAGTTTTGCTGTTGTGAATAGTGCTGCAATAAATGTGTGCATGTGTCTTTATAATAGAATGATTTATAATCATTTAGGCATATATCCAATAATGGGACTGCTGAGTCAAATTGTATTTCTAGTTCTAGATCCTTGAGGACTTGCCACACTGTCTTCCACAATGGTTGAGCTAATTTACAGTACCATCACTGTTCAAGAAAATAAGAGAAGACACAAAAAACTGGAATAACAGAAGAAGCAATATCATGAAAATGGCCGTACTGCCCAAAGTAATTTATGGATTCATTGCTATTCCCATCAAGCTACCATGGACTTCTTTAAAGAATTAGAAAAAATTACTTTGAATTTCATATGGAACCAAAATAAAGAGCCCACATAACCAAGACAATTATAAGAAAAAAGAACAAAGGAGGCATCATGCTACCTGACTTCCAACTACTGTACAAGGCTACAGTGACCAAAACAGCATGCAACTGGTACCAAAACAGATGAACAGACCAATGGAACAGAACAGAGACCTCAGAAATCATGCCACACATCTACAACCATCTGGTCTTTGACAAACCTCACAAAAACAAGCAATGGGAAAAGGGTTCCCTGTTTAATAAATGATGTTGGGAAAACTGGCTAGCCATATGCAGAAAACTGAAACTGGGCACCTTCCTGACACCTTACACTAAAATTAACTCCAGATGGATTAAAGATTTAAACATAAGACCTAACACCATAAAAACCCTAGAAGAAAATCTGGGCAAAACCATTCAGGACATAGGCATAGGCAAGGACTTCATGACTAAAACACTAAAAGTACTGGCAATGAAAGCCAAAATAGACAAATGGGACCTAATCAAACTCCACAGCTTCAGCACAGCAAAATAAACAGTCATTAGAGTGAATCAGCAACCAACAGAATGGGAAAAAAATTTTGCAATCTATCCATGTGACAAAGGGCTAATACCCAGAATCTACAAAGAACTAAAACAGACTTAGAAGAAAAAAACAAACAAGCCCATTCAAAAGTAGGCAAAGGATATAAACAGACAAAACGTGACAAAAACAAGCAATGGTGTAAGGATTCCCTATTTAATAAATGATGTTGAACTGGATCACTTCCTTACACCTTATACAAAATTTAACTCTAGATGGATTAAAGATTTAAACATTAGGCTGAACACAATAAGAACTCTAGAAGAAAACCTAGGCATTACCATTCAGGACATAGGCATGGACAGACTTTATGACTAAAACACCAAAAGCAATGGCAACAAAAGCCAGTATTGACAAATGGGATCTAATTAAAATAAAGAGCTTCTGCACAGCAAAAGAAACTATCATCAGAGTGAACAGGCAACGTTCAGAATGAGAGAAAATGTTTTGCAATCTGTTCTTCTGACAAAGGGCTTAAACAACTTTACAAGGAAAAAAACCCCATAAAAAAGGTGGGTGAAGGATTTAAACAGCCTCTTTTGAAAAGAGGATATTTATGTGGCCAAGAAACATGAAAAAAGCTCATCAACACTGGTCATTAGAGAAATGCAAATCAAAGCCACGATGAGATACCATCTCAGGAGTCAGAATGGCAATCACCGAAAAGTCAGGGAACAACTGGTGCTGGAGAGGATGTGGAGAAATAGGAATGCTTTGACAGTATTCTTAACTTTTGAGGAACTTCCATACCGTTTTCCATAGTGGTTATACCATCTTACCTTTCTACCAGCAGTATATAAATGTTCTAATTTCTCCCCATCCTGGCCAATACTTTTTATTTTTAGTTTTTAAACATCATAGCAATCTGAAGAGGCATGAGGTAATATCTCACTGTAATTTTGACTGGCATTTCCCTGATAACTAGTGATGTTAAACATCTTCTGCATAACTGTTGGCAATTTGTATATCTTTTTTTGAGAAATGTTCAAGTCTTTTGCTTATTTTTAAGTAATTTTTTGTTTTTTGGCTTTTAAAGTTTCTTATATGCTGCATTTTGGATTTTAACCTCTTATCAAATACATAATTTACAAATATTTTTATTATGTTTAAATCAATCCATTTTCAGTGGATTTTTGTGTAAAGTAAGGGTTCAATTTCCTTTTTCATGTGGATGTCCAGTTGTCCCAACACAATTTATTGAAGAGATTGTTCTTTTTTCATTGTATATTATTGGCACCCTTGTTGAAAACAAGTTGACTACAAGTAGGTGGATTTATTTCTCGGTTCTTTACTCTGTTCCTTTGGTCTATATGTCTGCCTTTATTGTGATACCATACTGTTTTAATTACTGTTGCTTTGTAGTATATTTTTGAAATCAGGTATGTGATATCTCCAGTTCTGAGGCGTTTGTGGTTCCCTATTAATTTTAGGATTAATTTCTTAAATTCTGTAACAACAACAACAACAGCAACAACAAAACCAACACACATTCTACTGTAATTTTGAGAGATGGCATGGAATCTGTAAATCACTTTAGGTTGTATGTACATTTTAATACCCTCACTTTATGTAATAGCTTTTCTTATCACCTTAAGTGTATTAGGCCTATTTAAAATAATTAGTTTCATCATTTCTGTTTCAGATCATATATATTGTTGGGTTTCTTAAATTTTTCTTTGTTTAGTTATCTTTTCTAGTCAGATTGCTGTTTTCACTTACAATCTCATGTTCTCCTGCAGATGTCAGCTATTTCGTCTAATCATGTGTATTGGGGAAGGGCCAGAGGCCACATCCTAATCTGCATCCCTCCCTGTGAATTTAAAGTAGATGGGGTGAGGACAAGGTGTAAGAGTCAAAGCACCAAAAAAAACCACTATTTGTTGCCCCTACTATTGCAGACAAAGTTCTGGTCAGGCTTGTGCCTTGAGACTCTAGAAATATTGACATCTTGATATGGGCGGATTGGGATGTGACATATACATCTTCAGGTTTTAGAGAAGTAGTAAGTGATAAATGCTCAAAGATGTCTGGTTTCACCATTCTTTTCATTAAATCCTTGACACAAGAGGGCTTAATGGTTTCCTGGTTTTATTAGATCCATGGTGGGTCCATGACCTAGCAATTTTTATGATGGCTGGCAATAATTTTGGAATGCAATGTGGAAAGAGAGACAAGCAGAGCTTAATTCCAACCTATCATCTCACTATTACCCTTATTGAAGACATTCATCTGAAAAGAATTTAACCTTCTAAGTGCACAGCCATGAGAGAAAAAAAGAAGGGAAAAGAGTATGATAGTCTGAGTGTAATAATCCATTGCATGAGGCCAATGGTGAAAACATTTAGTGTGGTTGGGAGTTAAATTTAAAGAGGAAAGTATACTTTTTTCCCTGAGAAATACAGTGTCAGTAATAGGACTTAAGCATTATTTTTTTGGGGGGCCCAAAATCCAGGAACAATATGTTCAACAATTGCTGCAAGAATCTGATTACAATGTTCTGATTGTAAACAAATTTTTGGGTGACATGAGATATGGTGAAATTAAGTTGAAGAGTGTGATTTGTGGAGGTGGAAGAGAATTGGCAGGAACACTAAATCTTGGGACATGTTGGAGTTAACCCAGTGAAATTGCAGGCTAGGAGGAGCAGTGCCTCTGGTAGAAGTGGGAACATAAAAGCAGTGTGTGGCATATCTGTATAGGAGGTGACATGTAGTCTAATAAAACTGATTGGGTGAGAAATGACAATGGGGAATGAGAGGGCCAAATTTAGACAGACTTTGTATTGCAAATGAAGAATTGGAGCTTTATCTTAAAGACAATGAAGAGTAAGGTTAGTACTGAGTCAAGGAAAAGTATATTGTAATAGACAAAGGGAATTCATTTAGTTAAGTAATACATATGGGTAGTATATGTTGTGAGTGGTTTGGACTTAACACAACATAAAATAATTGTCTTTATTTGTCTAGTAGTAGATATGGTTTTTAGTAGGTAATTATATTCCAAATGTTACATGTGGCATATTCATATTAAAGTCACTCCTTGTTTATCTGTAATTCGTATTAACTGGACATCCTATTTAGATTTTCTAAATCTGGCAACACTATTATAGGATGTGTCAAATCAACAGAATCAGGCAAACATGACCAGGTAGGATGGTTAATACTGAGTTTCAACTTGATTGGATTTAAGAATGCAAAGTATTGATCCTGGGTGTGTCTGTGAGGGCATTGCCAAAGGAGATTAACATTTGAGTTAGTGGGCTGGAAAAGGCAGACCCACCCTTAATCTGAGTGGGCACCATCTAATTGGCTGCCAGCATGGCTAGAATATAAAGTAGGCAGAAAAATGTGAAAAGATGAGACTGGCCTAGCCTCCCAGCCTACATCTTTCTCCTGTGCTGCACACTTCCTGCCCTTGAATGACAAACTCCAAGTTCTACAGTTTTGGGACTTGGACTGGCTCTCCTTGCTCCTTAGCTTGCAGATGTTTTATTGTGGGACCTTGTGATTGTATGAGTTAATACTTAATCAACTCCCATATATGTATATGTATATATAATCTCCTCTTAGTTCTGTCCCTCTAGTGAACCCTGACCAATACAGCAGACAATAAGAAAACATAACTGTTCAACAAGATACTAGAGATGCTTCTTAAAGAGATGGTTCTTGACATTTTGAACTATAGCAGGGCTGGCATGGAGTTTGAGGATGAATTTTTGCAGAGGACAGTGATCAATTCACACCATGCTAAGAGGTGTGAATTGTGGCTACATTTTGGTTTTGAGTAGGTGGCAGCCAATGGATAACTGCTTCCCCTTCACTTCTACTGGGCAAATGGCGTTTAGATGCATCCTGGGAGGCTCATGCAGGATGAAGCAATCAGCCACTGCAATCAGCCCTCTAGTGGCAGCCAGTTCTACTGGCTATTTAATAGATGGAATTGGCTACATAGCCAACAAAGAACTAAAAGAGCAACCAGGGAATGACGCAGAAACGCAGGACCATCTTCGGCTGGAGACAAGCAGGGAGGAAGGTAGTGATGTTTAGAACCATGGCAAAGGCTGTTCTATGGAGATAGGGCATCAGAGAAAATGGCTGCCAGAAGAAGATGAAGTCATGGAATAAGCAAAATCACTGCTGGAGGCACTGCCTGAGTTAGAAGAAGAGGTAAAAATACTCTAGCTGTCCTTCTAACTTTCTCTGTTGTGATCAGCTGTGAGTCTTCCCTTTGTTGGTAACCCGACCTTTCTCTCTGGCTGCACTTAGCATTTTTTCTTTCACTGCAACCCTGGTAAATCTGATGATTATGTGCCTTTAGATTGCTCTTCTTGAGAAATGTCTTTGTGGTGGTCTCTGTTTCCTGGACTTGAATATTGGCCTGCCTTGCTAGGTTAGGGAAGTTCTCCTGGATAATATCCTGAAGAGTGTTTTCCAGCTTGGATTCATTCTCCCCGTCACATTCAGGTACACCTATCAAATGTAGATTAGGTCTTTTCATATAATCCCATATTTCTTGGAGGCTTTGTTCATTTCTTTTCACATTTTTTTTTCTCTATTCTTGCCTTCTCATTTTATTTCATTGAGTTAACCTTCAATCTCTGATATCCTTTCTTCTGCTTGGTCGATTTGGCTATTAAAACTTGTGTATGCTTTGCAAAGTTCTCCTGTTGTGTTTTTTCAGCTCCATCAATTCATTTATATTCCTCTCTAAGGTGTTTATTCCTGTTGGCATTTCATCAAACCTTTTCTCAAGGTTCTTAGTTTCTTTGCATTGGGTTAGAACATGTTCTTCAGCTCAGAATTTTCTTATTAGCCACCTTCTGAAGCCTGTTTCTGTCAATTCTCATCCAGCCTTATTCCCTAGCTGGTGAGGAGTTGTGATCCCTTAGAGGAGGAGAGGTGTTCTGGTTTTGGGTATTTTCATCTTTTTGTGCTGGTTTCTTCCCATCTTTGTGGATTTATTTACCTGTGGTCTTTGTAGTTGGTGACTTTTGGATGGGGTCTCTGAGTGGACATCCTTTTTGTTGCTGATGAAGTTATTTCTTTCTGTTTCTTAGTTTTCCTTCTAACAGGCTCCTATGCTGCAGGACTGCTGGAGGTCCACTCCAGACTTTGCTCGCCTGGGGATCACCCGCAGAGGCTGCAGAACAGCAAGGGTTGCTGCCGGTTTCTTCTTTTGCTATCTTTTCCCCAGAACTGTACCTGCTAGATGTTGGCCTGAGCTCTCCTTTATGAGGTATCTCTTTCGGTATACGGGGGTCGGGAGCTGCTTGAGGAGACAGTCTGTCCTGATAGGAGCTCAAGTTCTGTGCTGGGAGCTCCTTGGTTCTGTGTAGAGCTGCTGGGCATGTACCTTCAAGTCTGCTACAGTGGAACTCATAACTGCCTCTTTCTCCAGGTGCTCTGTTCTAGGAAGGTCAGCTTTATTTATAAGTTTCTGTCATGCCTTTTTTTGTAGATGCCCTGCCCCACACGGAGTAGTCTAGTCACAGTCTGTCTGCAGAGGTGTTGCTGAGCTGCTGCAGGCTTGCCTAGCTGCTGTGTGAACTGTCTCAGTAGTGGTGGACTGCCTCAGTAGTGGCAGTTGCCCTTCTCCCCACTGAGCCGTATTGTCCTGGGTCCAGCTGCATTTGCTGCAAAACTCTTCAGAGCATTTCAGATTGCTTGTTTTGTGGGGGTAGTACCTGCTGAGCTAGATCACCTGGCTCCCTGTCTCTGCACCCTCCCTTTCATTTGAATGGGTGGCTCTGTCTCCCAGGCATTCCAAGTGCCAGCTGGAACAGCTGCCCAGATTTGTGTGAGTTTCTGTGCACCAATCTGGCACCAGCTGAAACCACTGTGCTGAAAACTTGTGGAGATTTTTGGCCCAGGAATCTCCTGGTCTGTGGGCAGTGAAAAT